TTTAGAATGTGCCAGCAAGGTCTACACATTTTGTTTTCCAGGTTTGTGCATCAACCATAGACAGTCCACTAAGGAATGTTGCAACAGCCAGAGTTGACGGCGTTGTGCCAGGTATTGTGTACTGAAGTTCCCAGATCTGACTTAATCCTGGGATTCCATGTATCTCTGGGGTGGCCCTGGAGGTGGCACCATGTAGAGTCAGCGTGTGTACTCCTTCACACATGGATGGAGAGTTGTGAGCACGGTGTGCTTTTGTCCATCCTGGCGACATGACTGAAGAGCATGCAGCACTGCTGTTGAATACAATGAGTGACAGGAAGGTTGGCCAGATCCTTGAAAGAGTGTGACATTTTGCACAAAGTCAAACCACTTTATGATCAAAATCTGGTACTGACAGCACAAAGGTAATGCATCTAGCCATTCCAAATCAGCCTGTAAGAAAGTCCAGGTTTCTGACCATATAGCAATACAGGTACCACACAGGTATGATAGATCCTGAATTTTGTCCCAACACAAAAAGATTTTTGTATCCATAAGAGAGAAATGGCCTACATGCAGGAGGCAGTGAGACCGGCTTGTCAAAGAATATCCAGATTGTTGAGACCATTTGAATTCTGCTTGCAGCCTAGGTGGATGAACTCATCAGTGTTTTCCACAGTACTCAACCCCACCTGCACTGAGAGTTTTTGTGACCCAGCTCCACGGTTCTGGACCTTGTTCTTCTGCCATGTTCAACCCCCATGTTCTCCCAGCATCTTGGAGACCTTGAAGGGCTGGGACCAGGTTTATGGTTGAAATGTATATTCAAACAGTTTGTGAATCCATCTCCACAGGCATTCTTTGGGGTTGTGATTCTTAAGAAGCCACTGTAGGACACAGTTGTCTGTGGACATGATGAATTCCGTACCTAGTATACATGGACAATAGGCATTGTGGACATATAGTATAGCCAGACAGTCCAGTTCTGTAGCTGAATACTTGATTTTTCTCTTTTTTTAATTTGTGATGTCCAAAAGCCACCAGTCTGTCTAATCTGTCAAGTCATCTCCCTTGGCCTCCCTCCTACACATCTCTATTTGTGTGTTTTATTAATGTGGGGTGATTTTTGGCTGCTATGTTTTATTTACATTTGGTTTTAATACAAAGGGGTGGGAGGAAACAGCAGCTACAGGAATCAGTGGGGACTGACCTCAGTCATGTGACAAGGGACTGGAAATAAAAAACCAGGCTCTCTAATGAGTCACATCTTTGTTACAGTTGGGGTGGCCCAGAGCTGTAGAGGAACAGCAGCTGCTAGACCCAGTCCTGCTGCTGCTGTGTTAGTAGGGTTGGTTGTGATGGAGTTAAGGGAGCTCATCCCATAGACATTCCTGTCAGGTGGGGAAAGAATGTGCCTGCACCACAATGAAGTGGCAGCTCCTGAAACAATCATGCCTGGCCCCTTCTCAGGACTTATTTTCTAAGATCCTTAGGTTTTCCTCCATTGTTTCATTCTGGGACCACAATTTACACCTGCTTTCCCCTCAGTTATATGCAGTCACTATAGGAGCCTCATTTACTGGTAGGGTTGGATGAGGTCACCCTCCTAAATCCTTTAGTGGGCTTGATTCTCTTCTGCATTGCATCTTGGGTCTTGGGTCTGTCTCACTGACTACTGTAGATATGGGCTTAATCATTTCAAATTTGTTTTCATTTTGAAATATGTCATTGATCTACGTTATCAACAGTGTTTATGTAATAGGCAGCTTGATCAATTATTTTGTTACAATTAAATTATTGCCTTTTCAGTTACAAGTCTTGCATGTGCATAATGGAAGTTAATGATATTAAATAAGAAAGCCCTGAGTTGATGTGAATGGTCTCGCTTACATTGCTGTGTTTCTTGCTTGTAATGACTGTACAAAGAAATCTTAAACACTGTTGTACAATCCCTGATTAAGGTTATGTAGCCTGATGTTAGATTTTAATTCTGGCTTTAATAACTTGAACATTTACTACTCCTACTTTTTAAAAACAGGTAGCCAATTATAATCCTTGTTTTAAGATGTTACACTCACCCATCACTTTTTTGGCACAATCCCTAAAAGGGAAGAAAATAAAACCAAAAAGAACATGCCTACAGCCACTGAAGACTGCCTGTGGTACCGGCACTCCGTTTGGCTAATGGTCAAAACATCAGTAACAGAGAATGCATTGGATACTGTGTTGTATTCATCAGAGCATATCCGGGGAGCTGTATGAAACACATCTATGCCAAATTGAAATGAAAATGAAAAGATTTCATGAAAAATCCTTAATGTATCTCCCTGTTGACCAGTGCACGTTGCCCCTCATTTACTGTTGCCTTGGTCCTTAGCCCCATCTATCACATAAGTAAAGATGATGCTGCAGGGAATGTACTGCGTGTACTGTTTTAGGTGTTTGCAATAGCATCAGTGATTACAGAGGAGATTATGTAATCTTTAGCTAAATTCTTGGTATGTAGGAGAAAAAGAAATGGTTTTTAAATTATTTTATTTGACAATGGAAATGTATTTGTAATACCCACATTTTTTGCTAATGATTTGGTATCTTAAACAGTATTAAAATTATTACTAAATATTGCAATTGGAATTGGCTTTTCTGTTGCCAGCAACTGCTCTCTTAATGGCAGACCATCTGCAGAATTTGCATACTGTTCCATACCCAAACTGACTTGATACCAGTGAAACAAAACTGTAACAACAACAAGATATTAAAATGTAAGGGCAAATTTATGGTGGTATCAATTGGAACTATATAGGTAAGCTTATCCTCTAAACCACCCTTGACCTCAGACTGTAACTCCCAATTAAAACAAAAAAAGATGGCAGTTGACCAATATTGGAACTAAATTAACCAAATATCTAGAATTTGATGTACTGGTATCATCCTGCAAATCTGTTGTCTCTCTTTTTTTAAGATTACTAGTAAAAACGTCAGTAGTTCCTTCTTTCTTTTACTAGGAAGGGATATTAGTAGGTTTATATTGGCTCACTAAATAGCCGTGAGTGGCTACATTACATTTATGTTGCTCAACCTGTGATTTTAGTCTCATCCATTTCTATGAGGCACCACGTGAGGTTCTAGTGGAGTCTATCAGTTTGAATGAAGATCTTCTTGCTCTGTGGAGAATTGGTTACAGGAGCTCTCGCCATATGCCTAATACATGTGAGACAGCACAGGTAACACTAAACAAATGGACCAGAGCAGCCAGATACGTCTTCATTCCTCTAGGTTGCCAGGAAGTGGTACAACTGGGAGAAGAAAGAAAACCACACACCCACTGAAAAGTGACAGCACCTACGAAAATCCCTGGTTTTATCTCCCATAAATTCTGAATTTTCTGATTTGCTCAGCATTTTATCAAGGGCTGTAGCTACCACTTGGTGAACAGAGGTACAGGTGATGTGGGGCATCAAACAAAAGGAAAGGTCGGTTCCTATATGTCCCCATTTTCACAGACAATGTTACGTTCTAAATGGGTTGGATTATGGGCTGCTGCTATGTGGGGCATATTGTTGAAAGCGCTGATTTTATTTGATCAAGGTCTTTGTTTTAATGCTGTGATGTGTAAGTATTAAAAGGGTTAAAGCAGTAATTAGCCCCTCAGTGTCTAAATATTGTGATGGGGCAAGGCCAGATGGCTATAGAAAGTAGTGGGAGATAGATATATTAGCTCCAGGCTAAAGAAATCCCTGGTACCAGGTTAAGTGAAATGGAAGCTGCTCCAGGTCAATTAAGACACCTGGGGCCGATTAAGAACTTTCCAGAAGGCAGGGAGAATGCTAGGTTGATTGGGACACCTGAAGCCAATCAGGGGCTCGCTGACACTAGTTAAAAGCCTCCCAGTCAGTCAGGTGGGTGTGCATGTCAGGAGCTGCAGAAGGAAGTTGTGCTGTTGGAGAGGCTGAGTAGTACACACCATATCAGGCACAAGGAAGGAGGCCCTGAGGTAAGCATGAAGTGGAGCTTGAGGAAGTGAGGGCTGCTGTGGGGGAAGTAGCCCACGGAATTGTCCATGTCATGTTTCTAAAAGGTCAGCTACCGTAGCTGATACTATTAGGGTCCCTGGGCTGGAGCCCGGAGTAGAGGGTGGGCTGGGGCTCCCCCCCCACCTTTGCCCCCTGATTAATCACTGAGACTGGGAGACAACAGAGACTGTGCAAGGAAGGATAACTTCTCCTCACCTCTCTTGCTGGCTTATGATGAAAATGGCTCAGTAGACTGTGACCCTTGTCTCTAGAGAAAGAAGGGTTACGTGGAGGGTCACAGTGAGCCTCTGAGGCTAGCGAAATCCGCTAGTAAACGCGGGACCCATGGAGGCAAGGACAGAGCTTTGTCACAATATATAGTAAAGGTGATATCCTCTCAGTGGCATACAACCATCTTATGATTTTAGGAATACCTATTTATTATCTCTTAGGAACTATTGATGGGATTTAGTACACCTCAAACGTTACATTTGTCCATTATACCTCTGAGAATGCACTGGTTTGCTTTTTTTAATCAACCTTCTATGGGCTTTGTATCAGTTTGGATGTTTAACAGAGAACTGTTGAATGCATCCATCTCTATGAATTCTAACATGGGAATTACTGATACAAAGGAGATGCAAATATATTAATTCTCATCTGTGAATAACTAAATCATTTGACAAAATTATTATAACTTTTACTGGTTCTTGAATGTTATCATAGTATTCCAGAGATATGCTGCAAGTTCTTTTTAATTTGTGTGATTTCTAAAAATTAAACCCAGTGCAAATTCTACAATTTCATTCTCTTTGACAAATCTGTCTTCAGTTCTGCCCATGTATATCCAGAAATAGGAACAATTTAAGCACTGTAATAAGGGCTATTATTCTGCCACAGTCCATATCTCTGATATATGCCTTCCATGTGTACAACAGCAAATCCGCGAAAGGAGACATGATTTGGCACAAAGTGAATGATTTAGTCCAAACCCTGAAAATCGTCATATGCAACTATCTGAAACATGTTGATCTCAAGACCATTTTGTAAACGAAAATATGTCAATTTTATAGTAGCTGGCATATCTTGTGTGTAAAGCTGATTAGATAGGATACCAACAGGTAGCTGTCTGCTACATGAATTTTTACATGACTTTCATCTAAATTAGAAATCTAACAGCAAAATCTATCATGTAGGGATGTCACCTGGATTTGTGGTACTCCTTTGAGGCCTTTGGGTTTAGAAACCAATGACTGCATTACACGTGGTAATTCACAAACTCTGAATTATTACACCATAATTCAAACTATGTCAAGTCTGGTTGCTCAGTTTTATTATGTAATAATGATCTATTAATAAATAATGCACAGATATATTAATACAAATTACTAATGTAAACTATAAATATTCCTTACTTTGTTCTACTGGTTCAGAACACAATGTATGTGAAAATGTTATAAAATGGAACTTGCTTATGCAAAAAATAGTGCAATACATATTAGTCAGCTGTATTTTGTTGCTGGGCTGCGTGACTAATATTTATTTATTTATATAGTGATATCCCCCAGTCGTGGAAGAGGGCTCTATTGTGCTCAGCTCTGTAGAAATACAGAACAAAAAGATGGTCCTTGTACCGAAGAGCGTTGCAATCTAAGAAAACCAGATGGTGGTGGAGGAAGCACAAGGTAACAATGAAATGGTCATGATCAGTGGGGTAAGCAGTGGTCACAGCACACTCGCTGCATAAGCTTTATATAACTTTTGATTAAAGAAATTAAAAATATGAAGTTCCAAATGCAGGCAAGTATTATATATCTTGTATTTCCTGCTCATACATGCAGTCGTTAAAACTATTTCAGATCCAGGTTGTTGCTTCTCATCTAGGCCAGCTCCTAGCTAGAACCCCCAAGCCACTCTGAGAACCAGCCCTAGCCTGGGAGTGTGCAACAACCATCACCTCTACACCAGCCCAAGAAATTGCTCCATACCATACCTGGCCCAAACTTGCAGCTGTATCCATTCCTAACCTGATTCACATCCAGTTCCACCACGTGCCCATTCCTTAGCCCAAACTGAGTCTACGAACTCACACCAGCTTCTATCTGAGACTGAATTTACCCTATGCCAGCCTGAGCTTGAGCCCACAGGCTGAACCCAGTACTCACCGTAGTCAAGGCTCAAGGATTAGGTTTAATCGTAGGCATAGGTTCAAGTTACAGATAGTATTGGTGCCAGTTTGTGGCCTGGGGTTAGGATTAGGTTTGGCACCGGCTTGTGGAGTTGGACTCAGGTAAATGTTGCAGCTGAATTGTGAAATCAAACTAGGGTTAGTTTTGGTGCCAGTTCATTGGATCATGTTAGGATATGGACCATTTTGAGGGTTAGAGGTGAGGGTGGGTGTGACAGGTTGTCACTCCTAGGGTGCAGTTTGGGAGCCACGGGAACCCCTGCGCCTCTTTAACCTCCCAGCTGGCCTGGCTTTTCCTACGCTGCTCTGTTGGTGACTCACAGCCTCTTCAGGCCCTGGGGTCATTCAACATGACAGCAGGTGGCGCCACACACCCAAACTGAGGTACCAAAGTGCCTTACTCAAAGACAGGCAGGCGACAACAGCCAATTTCCTAGGTCCGTCACCCTGGACCCTTGCTGGGTATAAACCCAAAATTGTACCATCTTGCACATTGTACAGATCCCTGTGCAGTAAACTCATAAAATTCACCTTCCCCTCAATGTGGGAAGGATATGCACAATACGCTTGTGTTAACCAAGCTGAGATTTTTCCCCAGACACTTCACTCTGAGGCAGAGGTGAAAGTAAGCCGGTACGCCCTGGTATGGCGTACCAGCAAGAGCCGGTGCACCATATTGGGGCAGCCCGGCTTCCCCAGGGGGCAAATTAAAGGGCCTGGGGTTCCCAGCAGTGGCTGGAGCCCCAGGCCCTTTAAATTGCCTCCAGAGCCTCACTGCTGGAGCCCTGAGGTATCAGTGGCGGGGCTCTGGTGGCTATTTAAAGGGCCCGAGGCTCCCCTGCTTCTACTACTCCCCTGCTACTCCAGGGGCTATTTAAAGGACCAGGGCAGCAGAGGCAGCTGGAGCCCTGGCCCTTTAAATAGCCCCTGGAGCCCCCGCTACCACAGGGCTCTGGGGGCTATTTAAAGGGCTTGCGGCTCCCCTGCTTCTACCACCCCGATCCTTTAAATAGCTGCTGGAGCTCCGCCGCTTCCCCAGGGCTCTGGCAGCTAATTAAAGGACCAGGGTGGTAGAAGCAGGGGAGCCCCAGGCCCTTTAAATAACCCCCGGAGCCTTGGGCTGCTGCTGCTACCCCAGTGGGGGCGGGGGAGAAGGAGGAGGAGGGTGGGACACTTACCTTACAGGGGGACTGGGGCTGGCTCTGACCCCCTCAGCCCCACCCCTTCCACCCTAGGCCCCGCCCCTTCCAGGGTCCAGTGCTGCCCCCAGCGTACCAGTAAGACACTCGACTTACTTTCACCTGTGCTCAAAGGTACACTGGTTTAGATAAAGCAAGGTTATTAACTACAAAAAGATAGATTTTAAGTGATAGCAAACAGATCAAAGCAGATTACCTCGTAAATAAATAAAATTGGAATCTAATCCTAAAATACTAGAAAGATTGGATATGAATTAGCAATTTCTTACCCTGACTGATGATACAAGCAGGCTTGCATATTCTCAAGGCACAAGCTGCACTTGCTTTGCAGCTTGGGCTCCCCACCCCCATTCCAAGTCCTTTTCTTTCAGAGCTTCTCTAAGGTGTTGAGTTGTGGGGAAGTGAAGAACCACAGATGATGGCACTCCCTGTCTTATATAGGTTTTCCATAGGGCGGGAACCCTTTGTTTCAAAAATGTTCCCAGCCCAGTTTGTGGAAAAATACAGCTACTCAAAATGGAGATCAGTGTCATGTGCTCTGGTCACATGTCCTTGCATGCCTTGCTGAGTCATAACAGCCATTACTTATAGGCTGTCTGGAGCATTCTCAGGAAGACTCACCAGGTGGGGGGTAAGCTTCTCCTAAGGCCTACTGTTTTTCTGAATGGCCCATTACCTTGAATTGGCCCTTCGCAACCAGGTGTCTAGGCTGGAAGCATTTTGCCTAGTGGGTGTCACCCAGGTGTAACCACATTTGAAATACAGATACATAGTCGATATTTATAACTTCAGATACACAAATGATACATGCATACAAATAGGATAATCATATTCAGCAAATCATAACTTTTCCAATAACATCTTACATGACCCATCTTGTACAAAATGCGTCATAATTATGCCATAATCATATCATAATAATATTACTATGATGAATATGGGATGTAGTGTCACAGTGGGGTTGAGTCCCATTCTAGGTTTGGGCTAAAATCTGGATTGTTCTGGCTTGTGAGCCTAGGTGAAGGTTGGCATGGGGAAAATTTGTGGGCCTAGACTTTTGGTTTTGTGAAAGGGGCATTTTTACCAGAAAGTCATTAAAAAAAAATTCAATCATCTCTACTTAGGTACTTTTGAAAACATCACAAGGCACCTGTCTGCATCTCTAGGCTACTACATACCTTTGAAAATCTGGGCCTACCACCTCTCAGGGTTCCGGAGCTTGGGCTCCAGCCCGAGCCTGAACATCTACACTGCAATTAAACAGCCTCTTAGCCCTAGCCTGGAAGCCTAAGTCAGCTGGCACAGGCTAGCTGTCGGTTTTTAATTGTAGTGTAGACATACCCTAAAGTGGCATTGGTGAGAGCAATCATCTCTGCTGAAAACTTTAACTGTGGAAACAGCCTATGGTGCCAAATATTGTACATTGGAGTAACAATCTGCTTGAGGTAATCAGTGTTTTTCACCAGATCTTCAAACCTCATAAATTAGGATATACTGTGGCAGCCGCTCTCAGAAGTTTATGTGATTTGAAAGCCTATTTGGCATAGGGATATCTTAGTATTAATTAGGAGACTGTAATGAAATTTGTTGAGTGTGTTCTCTAGTGTGACTTTCTGGCTGTTTAAGAGATCTCAAAGCACATTTTGTTGTTGTCTTTTTGTTCAAGTGGTAAGTGTTCCTCCCCTTTAAAACACATCTTTTTAATTGCTGTGTTTAGTTTGGATTGCCTTATGTGGAAAAGGGGAGAATGTAACTTTGAGATTATGCAGTTATAACATGTAATGTTATTGTAACTTGATATCATCCATATATGTATTTTACCATGATGATCATCTCTGCATTACGATTGTAACCAGATGTTGAAATTTTCCTAAAAATTTTCCTACATTCCTAACAAAAAAGATTGCTTTTAAGCATCACCATGGTAGACTCAGTCAGGGATCTCACCTTTTTCCCCTACCATCTTTTGCAATTCTGATTAATCCTACCTCAGAGTTAGTGTCTCAGATTGATTTTTCAGAGGAGCGGACCCACAATTACCCATTTCCTCCTTACTGTGTTGTGAAGATTGAATCACAATTTAAAACAGAAAATAAACATCACCAACTGAATGTTAATAGACCAGATGCTAAAACCCCTCTTGACAAGATGAGCCCCTTTCATGCAGAGAGCAAATTGTGCCAAACCTAGATATTAGATCAGAAATTATAACTTCCTTTTAATGTGTAATTATGTAAGCATTTTGATTTTCACTTACCATCATTTGCTGCCTCCGAAGCAAAATGAGAAATGACAGAAAATTGCTATGACTTTGACGTGTAAGCTATGAGTTTGCCGCACCTTGAGCTTAATATAAATCTACATTTAAAAGATGAATCGTATTTAGAGCTGCTTAAAAACCCATCTTAAATTGACTGCCTTATCTGCCTTAGCCAGAAGTACGTTTAACATTCCTTCACATACAAATGGAGGTGCCTCTGTCTGCTACAGCTACACTGATCTCAGAATGTTTGTGCTTTAGTATTCATAGTAATTGTCACAATGCCATGCATGGATTGAAATGCATTTTCTGTACAATGAGACAGGCATTATTATTCATAATGAGCTATATTTAAATGAGAAGGAGTAGTTTTTCATTTCATTTAATAGTGCTGATTTATAAGAAGCTTCTTTTTAATTCCCCCAAATTAACCACCCCCAATAAAAACGTTTCAGCCTCATTCTGTGTGGCGGAAATAATTTGGTACAATGTGCTATTATACTTTAAAAGCATTTCTTTTTGATCAGGTATCCCACATTTTCTTCTGGGTTTTAGAGGAAAACCCTAGGCATTTAATTAAAATAGATTCTCTCTTTTTCCTTAGAGCCTAAAATTTATTTTCTGTTTTAGATAACTTAATCTGGGACCCAGCTTCAAACTTCAGAGCTTTTTACAGATAAGATGGGAATCCACGGATCAATGCACATGGACAAATGTCTGCACCACTGAATCTGAGCAACTAAAAGCATTATTATACAAAAATAAAAGCCCTGACTCATGGAGGTATGCTTGAAAATAAATTTAAAATTTGGCTAGGATACTAAAGGTTATATCAGAGGTTCTCTTATGTTTTCATAGTATGGTTAATATCTTAACAGAGATTTTCTTGGGGACACTTTCCCTCCAATTTGCAGTTGCATGGACCACCTCGATTCCTGTTAATGAATACATAACATCCCTGTGGCAACTAAAGCAATTGCTTGCATGGAAATTAATATTAGGAAGGATTTTTATGTATTTTTATCTTCTTGTGATGTAATTTAGCAGATGGAAATAAGAAAGAGAATTCATGTAAATTGACCAGCCAGCTCTTCACAGACCACTAGCAATTGTTCCATGGATAGTTGAGAACTGAAGCCTTAGAGAGATAGATAACTGTCTTCTATATCAGCATACATACTTATTTATAGCCCATTTCTGCCACCCTTACTCGTGCTGAATAGTATCTTACTCCTGGTTTTCTCACTGGGTGATCCTCATCCCTGCTCTGGCTCCTTTACATCACATAAAATGGCCAGAGTGGCATAAATGGTCCCTAAAAGCCCCATATCTGGCTGGGAAAGAATTCCCTTGGTGCCTGCACTGCAGAAGACAGCTGTAAGGTTGCCTTTCAAGGACCCCCTCATAATCCCTGGTGTCGGGGACATGATAGTGGCAGAGCTGGAGGCAGGAAGATTGTGTCAGGGCTAGGGCTGCAGCACATACAGCTGTACAGACTCTGGGCAGGGCTGTGGCCCATAGGGCAGCTCTGGGAGACTGCCGTAACTTAGGCAGGTTGCCTGGGCTGCCAGAATTATGCTGGGGACCTCTCCAGCCCCGGGAAGAGCCCAGGATGAAGAAGGCACAAAGGTGTCTTAAAAGTCACCTCAGCGATGCCATTGCTTAGGGTTGCAAGGTCTCTGCTATGCCTACACTTTGAGCTATGTGTGTGATTCCCAGCTCGAGGAGCTGTCCCAGCACTAGTTCTGATTGAGTTAGCATGCTGAAAATAGCATGTAGCCATGGTGGGGTGAGTGGCAGGAGGGGCTAACTGCCGGAGCACATGCCTAGTGTCTTGGACAGGTATGTACTTGGGGAGGCTAGCCTCTCCCACCACTTGTGCTGTTGTAGCTACACTTTAATCCAGCTAATGCTCTAAAAATAGAGCTAGCCCGGGCATGTCTCCTTGGGTTTGGATTCTCTCTCACACACACCCCCCCAACTTGAAGTGTAGATATACCCTAAGAGGCACAACTGAGAACCTGTCCATTGAGTTACATGAGATGACTGGAAGAGAGATTCTGACCCTTAGAAAATGATTTATCTGTGAGTTGTTAACTGTTTAGAAATATTGTATTTGTCTCTGTTTCAGTGACGTTGCTATTGGCTCTGTCAATAAAGTTTCCATTTTAACGATGCTTCACAACAGCAGAACTAGTCTGATGATGCAGAGCAGGCTTTTGGCATTTGGAAGTATTGGAGTGTCAAATGTGTAAGGTAAGTTTTTAAAAGGGGCTTAGAGGTGGCTTCCTGTATGATGTTGGCATAGTGTAAGGTGAAGAGCTGAATGCTGTAGGAAGGGATGAGGTGCAAAAAGCAGTAACATCTTGTAAGGGACCAGAGCTGGGTACTGTGGTAAAGAGCCACTTAGAAAGCAAAGGTTTCAGAGTAACAGCTGTGTTAGTCTGTATTCGCAAAAAGAAAAGGAGTACTAGTGGCACCTTTAGAGACTAACCAATTTATTTGAGCATAAGCTTTCGTGAGCTACAGCTCACTTCATTGGCTGTAGCTCACAAAAGCTTATGCTCAAATAAATTGGTTAGTCTCTAAGGTGCCACTAGTACTCCTTTTCTTTTTCAGAAAGCAAATACTGAGGCAATTCTAGTTACTGGATTTAGCATAGGACACAGCCCTCTTTTTGGCAGAACTTCACAGCAGCATAAATCCACAGAGAGGCTTCCCTAGTATCTGCAGGTTCAGCTCCATTAGGCTTAATCCCCTTAGTGAGAATTACAAACCTCCCACATCTGGAGTTCAAGAGTAAGTGAACAAGCCTGATAACTGGGAGCTGCAGGTAGAGAGCAAACACTGTAGAGAGAGGAATGGAAAACCACTCAGTGCTTTAACACAACACAATAGGCTAATGCTGCAGGCAACTATCCATCTTTAACTCCTGCTCACCCTCGAGGGGCGAGCTGTATACTAAGGTAGAGGTAAGGAAAAAACCCACTTTGGAGTCAGAGAGAGCATCACAATGTGTGCTCCTAAAAGATTAACCCAAGGAAACATGAGACATCCTCTTATCTCCTGGGAACTCATGTGCTCTAACTTGTGTAAATAGAGGGGGAAGAAATTCCACAGAAACAAACATAGGTGCTGGAACTAGGGGTGATGCTGCACCCCCTGGCTTGAAGTGGTTTCCATCATACACAGGGTTTACAGTTTGGTTCAAGGGCTCTCAGCACCCCCACTATACAAATTGTTCCAGCATCTATGGAAACAAATGAGGTAAACACTGGAGGTGTGAGAAGAAATGTAAACCAAAGATTCATTTAGCCTGCCAATGAATGGTCTTTAGTAGGAAAAGCTTGGAATAGAGCAACAAGCCACAACAGGGTATGTATTACTCCAGTGACAGGTGTGCACCTCATAGCCCTCGAAGAAGTGCACCAGTAGCCTGCTTATGTACGCCATGCTGTGTCCTATTAAAATCAGGATCTTTAATATTGTATTTAGTGTGAAAAAGCCTTTTGAAAGTCCAGTTGTGGGAGGTTTTACACAGCAATAACTTTCCCTGGGCAGAACAGTTCCTAGCAGAAGGCTATGAGCAAAGTTGACATCACCAAAATGGCCCAATCAGCCACACATTACATGCTTTTGGACCATCTGTGTCTAGAACCAGACAAATTATTGTTGAACCCCTCTGGCAATTTTGGTACTGATTCCTATTCCTCCACCTTCTGGCTCTAGCTCTTTCCAATGTCAGCTGAGCCCTGGCACCTCAAGGCTTGACACTTCTGGGCTCCTGGCCAGCAGCTGCCGCTCTCCGGCCGCCCGGCTGTGAAGGCGGTGCTGCCATTAGCAGCAGCAGCAGGGCAGAAGTAAGGGTGGCAACACAACATACCAGGCCCCCCTTACTTCTGCCCTGCTGCTGCTGGCGGCAGAGCTGGGTGGCAGCAGCTGCCACTCTCTGGCTGCCCAGTCAGTGCTTCATTTGTTCCAGGGCTTGCTTGGGCTGAGCCTTGGCACCTCTTTCATTACAAATTAAGCACTGCCCGTAAGTTACTTACTAAAGAAGTCAAAGGCAAATGATAGGCAGTGCATCACTGTCTGTGACTTTAATGATAAACATTTTTTAAGGCGAGCTGGTGGGCCACATTTGGCCTGTGGGCCGCCTATTTAGTATCACTGTCTCAGTGGAGTTATACCTTCCTCTGATCTCATCTAGTCCACGGTTAGCGATATCATAGTGAACTAGATGGACCGTTGGTCTGTCCCATTTTGACAATTCCTGTTTTCCTATGGCTCACCAAACAGCAGCATTAATACTGTGCATGTACTATATAAGAGACACTGTTTTCTTTCCACCCTAGCCAATGAAATACTGTAAAATGTAATAAAACAGCTACCACTGTGATCTGTCCTGAAGGGTATTGTACACGATGACATAAAGAACAAGATCCAACAGAGGGAAGATTCAAAATACACGAGCATAGCCATAAGCAAAATTAATTCGGTCTTACAGCATGTTTATGGTCATTACTTACCTGATCATTTTCTGTCTAAAACATGCTGTAAATAACGTGCATATTTTCTTACACACACACGTGCCATATGTGGTGTCTTATAGTACCGGATTTGGTAGAAAATCACAATCTGCACAAGAATAACTAACACGGCTGCTACTCTGAAACCCATCAAAGAATAATATGCTGCAACATATGCCATCACTACAAAACTGTATGTTTTAATAATATTCAATGATACATCAGTGGCAGATTAGCCCCCACGCTCCGACCCTGCTCCCGCAGCAGGGGAAGCCCTCGTGCCCAAACCCCGGCTGTGGCCCCGAGATTGGAGGAGCTATCACTCCCCACTGCGGCCCCAGGACTGATGCGAGGGTGGGGGCAGGAAGGAGCGGGTTGCAGTGCTGCAGTGGGTGGGCAGAATGGGGCAGGACCATGGGTGGAATGGGGTGGGACCTCAGGGGTAAGGGGCAAAATGGGGTGGGGCTGTGGACGGGGCTGCAGGTGGAAGGAGCAGAATGGGGGCAGGGCTTCAGGCAGAAGGGGTGGGGAGAGGCCCTCCACTTGTTTTGGCCCAGGGCCTCACCAGACCTTAATCCACTTCTGGATACAGTAATACTACACCACACTTTTCTTTTTTTAATGCAATCATGTTTTTGTGAGAAAGAAGCCATTAACAAAGCTGTTTTACGCAATTACGAGCCTGAATTTAATTTACACACAGTGTATTGTGCTGATCTTATATCCTGTAATATTTTTAACAGTGAGGGTAGCGCCTGACTCTTTGTTCATTGATGTTGTCACTGTTAGGCCAAATGAATAAAGATTCCACACGGTTCAGCCTGATAACGCTTCAAAGCCCCGAGCTTCGAGTCCTTGCCAAGGCTCAGTTTCCCTAGCATTTACTGAGCAGAATGCAAGCCAGTTGCATACTGACGGGAGGGAGCAGTGTTTGTAGGGTAACAAGGCCAGGAAAGGAGGAATTTTATAAGAGGGGGAGAGATTGCAGTCTCAGCTGACTATTGATAGCTGGATTGCCATTGGAGGAGCTGCAGAGATGTAATGGGGCACTCATGCCTCGGGGTATATTTCTAGGAAGGAAGTAGCATCAGAAGTTTGAAGGGGGCATGACAGGGAGAGGGCAAAGGAGAAAATCTCACCAGTGATCTCGGGTGGTTCATCAGATAAAAAGTGGTAAAAATGACACCCTTGCTATCCAATCAATCAATGCAATGCAGCCCTTGTGGGGACACAGGCATAAACCTTACACCAGTTCAAGGGTGGAGAACAAACATGGATGCACTCAGTTGGTGCAGCAGCACAGCCTGTCAAAGCACCACTAGCTAAGCACTCAAATGTGAGCAAGGCCTGTGTGGTCTTCAGCACAGGAACTGTCTATATTGCTGTGTATTGCATGTGGTACCAATCAGCACTGAACAAATAATAATTAATCATTCACTTGTGTCTACTTAAAGCAGATGCTTTCTTCATAAATCTCAGTTCCATGCTGCATGTTTGAAAAAAAACAAACCCAAAACAATAAGAATACACACAGACTTGAACCAGGACCAGAAGTTTTTCTGTGGTAACTACACGTAATGTCAGCAATACTTAAATTTTGTACCTCAGGTCATCAGTGAATTATGGTCAATTCCAGTTTGTTTCTTCACTTTTACTCTGTCCCTTATAAAAAATAATCTGAGACAAAATAGGTGAGGTAATATCTTTTATTGGCCTACACCTACCATGTCTCTGTCTCGGGTCCTGGGACCAACACAGCTACAACACTGCAAACAAAAATAATCTGATCAGCCATTTCTTGTATACGATTCAGTAAAAGCCTCAAAGGGAAATACTCTGAGAGTGTATTGACTTATTAAGTCACCTGATTTGTGGCTACAGCTATTTTCTTTATCTGAGCAAAGCTACAAGAAGTAAATCAAATATGGGCAAAGATTATTTTTGCATTCTGTTTGCTTTTTGAGCTGCTCTTGGTGAGCCTTTTACACTACTGTGCTCATCATGGCACAAACAGTTCTGGGGGCACTCAGCCAAAGCAGCTCAACGACTGCTGCTGTAGGAGGCGTAATCATACCCCAAGCTCAGAAGTGCTATTACAAGGCACTAAATGAAATATTAAGTGTTGTGCAAACTACATTGAGGTGCTTGGTTTCTACTAATCAGTTTAAGCCAAGCAGCCTGAGACATGCCTATTTAAGTAGTGTAAATCGAGTAGCTATGTTTTCAGATACACATCTAGAGATCTACTTCTGAGGAGGCATGGAAACTCTAGGAACTGGATTCTAAGTGCTGATACATGTGTACAACTCCCATTGAAGTCATGTATCCAGAGTTCCTATATAACCTGGGGCTGCTGGCTTGGACATGGATGATGCAGATTTTCACCATCATCTGGAGACTGCTGAAATCCCACATGTGTGGCGAGAAGCCAGGGTCATTGCACTCCTAAAGCCTGGAAAACGTGCAGATGACCCTTCTAGTAATAGGCCAAGCTCCCTCTTGAGCACTACCTACAAGGTGATGGAGCATATGATGCAGAACTGAATTGGGCCCTCTGTGGACCCCAACTTACCCAATGCTCAAGCTGGTTTCCAACAACACAGAAGTTGCCGTGACCCGGTCCTGGCCCTCACTACAAACACTGAGGCTGGATTCCAATGACAACTCAAGTCTGGTACTGCTTTCATTGATCAGTCAGTGGCACGTGACACAATCTGGAAGGAC